CCTAGACTTCAAATATGTTTTTCAAAATACATTGTTCCTAGGCATGATGGCACATGCCTTTAATCTCAGCACCCAGGTGGTAGAGGCAGGCAGATCTCTCTGAGTACCAGGCCAACCTGGCCTACATAGTAAGTTTCAGGACAGCTAGGGATACATTGTGAGATCTTGTCTCTAAATAAATAAAAAGAGTGTAGCACAGGTGACACACACCTGTAATCTCAGTACAGAGACTCAGGCAGGACTGCCTTCAGGGTGAGGCCATCTATGCTACATGGCAGGTTCCATGTGAGACCTTCTCCAAAACAAAAGCAAACTCAGGCTGGAGAGGTGGCTCAGCAGTTAAGAGCAGTGACTGCTCTTCCATAGAACCCGGGTTCAATTCCCAGTACCCACATGGCAGCTCACAACTGTCTGTAACTCCAGTTCCAGAGAATCGGGCACCCTCACACAGACATACATTGCAGACAAAACACCAATGCACATAAAAATAAATCTTGAAAAAAAAAATTGAAATTCTAAATCACCTAAATGACCCCCTCCAAAACTAAAAACAGCTTTTTTCAGTTCTAAGAATAGTTTTTGTTATAACGATTATCGATGGCTGAGGAAATGTGCACTAGCTTTGAGTTTTTCTGCCTTATTTTCTGTACAAATAGAACACAAGTGATATTCATGCTTTTGTTCTAAAGGCGAGGGAAGGGAAGGTGTCTACAAACATGGCCTGTATGCCTGCATTGTTGTTCTGAAGTTCACTATTCCTGCTCCGTGACCAGACAGTGGAAGCATAGTGCAGACACATTGTCATGCGCGCGGATGTTGACACGTTTGGCTTCATATGCGGGAGACTCCAGTGCATCCTGGTTTTGCTTTCTTCCCAGGCCTCTGAGCTGCATAAATCCATGTTCACCTTAGCTTACCGTCTGTGACCTAAAGCTGTCAGGTTGGGGCATAGGACTGTCCAGAGGGCTCCTCACGGAAAGGTGCTAGCCAACAAGCCTGATGACCTGCGTTCAGTCCTCACAGTGCCTGCTGTAGGAAAAACCACCCCAAACGTTGTCCTCTGAACTCCACGCATGTCCTGTGGCATGTGTGTGCCCACAAACGTGTACACACACACACACACACACACACACACACACACACACACACACACACACACACACGGAAACACAGGCTCACTTTCTCCTGAGCTGGATCTCCTGGCTTTGTTCCCCGTTGTCAGCACGGGAGGACAGTGGTCAGAGACTCTTCAGCCATGCTCCTTTTCCCCATATGCCTTTTAAATTTTAAAAGAAGCTAAAGGTGGAACAGGCCTGGGGCTGCAGCCGAGGGGTAGAGTGCTTGCCGTGCATGTGCGAAGACCTGGACTCTAGTGCCCAGGACCACGTCTGACTCCTCACACTTACAGTTTTTTCCATTGAGAAAAAAGATGGTATGTTAATTTTTTAAATAAGCTCTAAACTTTTATGATCTTGTTCTAAGATGGAAGGGCCTCAGTTAAGCTGTATGAAGAATAGTTGGCAGAGAAGTAGACTCGAAGCCACCTTTTCTGAGAGGCATGGTAACATAGACTTGTAATCCTAGCTCTAGAGAGGTTCAGGCCTGAAGAAGGAGAGTTCAAGACCAGCCTGGCTACATAACAAGATAGTGACTCAAAATGACAGCTGAAAACCAAAATGCAAACAAAGTCAAAGACAAAAAAATCTTTTCTCATCTCTCTCTCTCTTTCTGTCTCCCTCCCTCCCTCCCCCCCCCCTTTTTTTTTAATTGTTTTGAGACAAGGTCTTATATAGCTCAGACTAGCCTTGAATTCACTATGTGGCTAAAGCTGGCCTAGAATTTCTGATCCTCCTGCCGCCACCTCTTGAGTCCTGGGATGACAAGTGTACCATCAACTATTGCCATCTTTTCTTTCTAGTCAGCTAGCCTTTTCTCTTGCCCCTCGCTGCCCTGGACTCTAGCACTGTTGAGAGCAAAGGGTGGTGTCTCACTATTACTGTACCCATCATTCTCAGAAAGTGTCTGTGTCCTTGCAGGTCCCCAAAAGACATGCTAGCTTAGTGGTGGAGCACTTACCTAGCATGTGCAAAGATCTGGGTTTGATGCTCGGTTCCAGCTGAGTTAGAATGTCCCATTAGGAGAAGCCTGGAGTGGTCATGTGGCAGAGAGCAGGGGGCACATAGAAATTCCAGCTGAGTTAGAATGTTCCATTAGGAGAAGCCTGGAGTGGTCATGTGGCAGAGAGCAGGAGGCACACACAACTTTCAGGCGAAGTGCTTTGTTTACAGCCAGAGGCAGGCACACAGGTACGTTTTATCTTTCACCATCGACTTCTCAGGAAGTGTCAGTTCTAGAAGAGATTCTGGTTAGTGGGTTTGTAATGATCATTTCAGCTTCTTGAGTTGGCAGGGTTTCAGGCATTGGTTCACTGTCTGAACTGGTTTTTTTCTTGCAACTTAAACCTTGGGCAGAATACGCTAGTAGATATGAACTATGACGATCACCAATGTGTGAGAGTTTTCTATGATGGTCAGAAATGGAGCTCTCTCTGAGGATGTACTCCATCCCTTCCTTACCGTAATGGCACCGAGTTTTAGTTATGGACGTTTTTATAAGATAGAAGGTCAAATTGGGCAACAGCATGAGGTCTTTTCCTTTTCTTTTTTTCCTTGAGACGGGGCCTCACTGTGTAGTCCTGGAACTTGCTATGTGGATCAGGTTATCCTCAAACTCACATAAATCTGCTTCACCACTGCTGGGATTAAAGGCATACATTACCATGTCTAGTGAAAGGATGAGTCTCTTGTTCTTTCAAAATCTACTTTCTGGATTATTTGTGTGCCAGCCATTAATATGCACATTAGTTGTGAAGGCTGATCTCCAAAATTGTTATCAGAGCTAATCTACACTAGATATGATTATTTCTTACAGAAAATTTGGAAGATCTGTATTCCCAGTTCATTGTCTAGGATTATCAGTGCCACTTTTAGCTGCCTGTCTGAAGGACTGGTTTTATAGAACACTATTTATGGATAGCTAGCTAACATTTGGCTGTTGACTTTGGACATTCATTGTTTTTTTTTTTTGTTTTTTTTTTTTTTTTTTTTTTGAGACAGCCTTTCTCTGCGTAGTTCCTCTCCTCCATCTCCAGGTGTAGTTGACCAATAAAAATA